TTGAAACCATCTGTACATAAACCCAAACGAACATTCCCAATCTTTTGAGCAAAATCGGGATGCGTCATGTCAAAATGTTTCCAAGCCTCCCCATCACTCGGATGTACCATTTTTTCCGTTCCGGTTTGATGATCATGGTGCCAAGTCATCTCCTTTGCTATTTTCTTACACAAATGCCACCGTTGTAATCTTGTTGTAATCGGCAAATACGTCAACACCAAATTAGGCACCTTATTGTTTCGGCCGATTGTCTTGTAACGAGACTCCCCATATATTCGACAATTGTTATCATCAGCATATTTCTTATAAAATAGTATGCAATGGTTCTTGCAAGCATGTGTCTTTTCTTTCGGAAGACTAAGCTCCTTCAACATCTTCTTTGTCTCGTAAAAGCTACCAACTAGTTGATTACCATCATGTAACATTTCTTTTACCATAGAAAGGTTACAGTCGAAGGTTGTATTTGGTACATTGCAACCTGTCTTCCATTTCAAAAACCTTGTCGTTGCCTGTAACTTTGAAAATCTCTAGCATCCCTCCCACAACGACTCGTCCGCAACTCGTAATATATCATAGAAATGTTGTGCATGTTTATTTGGTTCTTGCCCGTCCCACGTACTTGATGTACCGGGAACATTTTGATCCATCACCATTTGTTAACACAATCAAACTAATTATAATCTTTGTCCACTATTGTTTGTTGTAGTTGTTGAAGTTCGGGTTCTAATTCATCATGTGCATACCAGTGACTATAATTGATCATGAATCCTTTTCTTAACAAGTCTATATGAATCTTGTTTCTATTTTTAAACTTTTGAAGTTGACATTTTTTACAAGGACATCTTGCCGTAAATTGCTCATTAGAGGAAGCAAAATCCAAAAATCCAACTATTTCGACTTAGAAAACTGGATTTATAGTCTTGTTCCTATTTATTCGGTTATACATCCATCCTCTATCAGTAATGGTCGACATAGCTACAAGTTTACAAAATTGTGTTATTAAATAGAATTTGAAATGTACATGTATTAGAATTACAAATACAAGTTCTAACGTTTGCCCAACAATTGGCAACCATTTCTAACACAAAATATATCTCAATTAGATCTATGAATACCATCTTAACGTTTGCCCAACAATTGACAACACATTTCTAACACGCATGGCAATTAGGACATTTTAGTATTTTCTATTGTGTCTATTTAACAGTCTAAACAAGGTTTGTTAATTAACAGTCTCTAACAATTAACAAAAAAATAAATCTACCTTCATATATATATATATATATATATATATATATACACATATATACATACATAAAATATATACATATATATACATACAGAAAATACGAAATATATATATATATATATATATATATACATACATACCGGAAAGATGTCGGCGGCCGGCTGTCGATCGACGGCAGCAAGGAGGCCGGCGGCAGGTGAAGGTGGTTGGTGGCAGGGGAAGATGGTGTGGTCGGCGGCAGGGGAAGATGGTGTGGTCGGGGATTGTCGTATGCGATTATCGATTGGCTATGTATTTTGTAAATGGATGGCGGATGTTGATCTAAGAAAGATAGGGTTTTATCGTAAGCGAATCCACCGGAAAATGTTTAAAAATTTTAATTTTTTTAAAAATAACTGGTTTTCTTGAAAATTTTGAAACTTTCGTTTTTGGGCAGATATTTCCACTATTAAAATTACTATTATTATTATTATTGAAATTATTATTATTATTATTATTATTATCATATGATCCATTAAAGCCCAATAAAACCGTTAAAGTCTAACTAACATCAACTAAAGCCCAATACGGTCAATTAAAGCCTAATACGATCCATTAAAGTCTGATACAATCCATTAGAGCCCAATAGAACCACTAAAGCCCAATACGATCAATTAAAGCCTAATACGATCCATTAAAGCCCGATACAATCCATTAGANCCACTAAAGCCCAATACGATCAATTAAAGCCTAATACGATCCATTAAAGCCCGATACAATCCATTAGAGCCCAATAGAACCACTAAAGCCCAATAGAACAGTTAAAGCCCAACTAACATCCACTAAAGCTCAATACGATCCATTACAACCCAATAGAACCGTTAACGCGTAACTAACATTCATTAAAGCCCAATAGGATCCATTAAAATCCAATACGATACATTAAAACCCAATACAATACATTAAAGCCCAATATGATCTATTAACTTTCAATAAGATTCATTAAAGCCCAATAGAACCGCTAAAGCCCAATAGAACTGTTATAGCTCAACTACGATCCATTAAAGCCCAATAGAACTGGTAAAGCCTAATACGATTCATTAAGAATATATGTAATATTTTTTATATATATAAAACCAAAAGTTTGAAAAATAAAAAGAAAAATCAAAAATCCGCCGGAAAAAGTTCGTCGGTGAACCGCCGGAAAGTATTAAGTTTTTTTTTTTTTAAATCTTGAATAATTTGTTATTTTAAATTACCGACGGCCACCAGTATCCACCGCAAATTTAAAAAAATAAATTTTAGTTTTTAATTATTTTTTGGCAGATTTCCGGTGGAGGTTAATCTTATAAAATTAATCAAAAATCCGTCGGAAATCCGCCGGAAAATTATTGTAATTAGAGTTAATAATTTTATAAAAAAATAATTTGTAAAATCCGCCAGAAATATTGTTGGAATATTTTTACCGGCGGATTTTCAGCGGAAGTCAATGAAAGTTTACTTTTTTTGTCCGTCGGTAATTTTCAGACGGATTTTTCCACCGGAAATACCCAGTTTTCTAGTAATGTCTCATGCTACGACCAAAATAATACAACAAAAAGGTTTTTTTAGGGGCTATCGCCCCATGTCGATCGGCGGCAGGGGAAGATGATGTGGTCGGAGATTATCGTATATGATTATTGATCGGATATGTATTTTGTAAATGGATGGCGGCTGTCGATCTAAGGAAGATAGGGTTTTATCGTAAGCGAATCCGTTGGAAAATGTTTAAAAATTTTAATTTTTTAAAAATAACCGGTTTTCTTGAAAATTTTGAAATTTTCGTTTTTCGGCGGATATTTCCGCTATTAAAATTATTATTATTACAATTATTATTTATTATTATTATACGATCCATTAAAGCCCAATAAAACCGTTAAACCTCAATAGAACCGTTAAAGTCCAACTAACATCCACTAAAGCCCAATATGATCCATTAAAGCCCAATACGATCCATTAAAGTGCAACACGATCCATTAAAGCTCAATGCGATCCATTAAAGCTCAATAGAACCTTTAAAGCCCAACTAACATTCATTAAAGCTCAACTAACATTCATTAAAGCTCAACTAACATTCATTAAAACCCAATAGAGTCATTAAAGCCCCAATACGATCCATTAAAGCCTAATAGAACCGTTAAAGCCCAACTAACATTCATTAAAACCCAATACGGTCCATTACAGCGCAATACGATCCTTTAAAACCCAATAGAATTGTTAAAGCCCAATACGATATATTAAAGCCCAATACAATCCATTAAAGCCTAATACGATTCATTAAATCCCAATAGAACCGTTAAAGCCCAGTAAAACCGTTCAAGTCCAACTAACATCCACTAAAGCCCAATACGGTCTATTAAAGCTTAATAGATTCGTTAAAACCCAATACGGTCCATTAAAGCCTAATACAATCCATTAAAGCCTAATACGATCCATTAGAGCCCAATAGAATCGTTAAAGCCCAATAAAACAGTTAAAACCCGACTAACATCCACTAAAGCCCAATACGATCCATTAAAGCTCAATAGAATCGTTAAACTGTAACTAACATTCATTAAAGCCCAATGTGATCTATTAAAGCCCAATACGATCCATTAAATCCTAATACGATTTATTAAATTCAATACGATCCATTAAAACCCACCAGAACCGTTATAGCCCAACTAATATTCACTAAAGTCCAATACGATCCATTGAAGCCCAATAGAGCCTTTAAGCCAATATGATCCATTAAAAATATATGTAATATTTTACATATATATAAAACCAAAAGTTTGAAAAATGAAAAAGAAAATAAAAAATCCGCCTAAAAAAGTCCGTTGGTGAATCGCCAGAAAGTATTAAGTTTTTTTTTTTGAAAAAAATCTTGAATAATTTATTATTTTAAATTACTGGTGGATTACCGACGACCACCTGTATCCGCTGGAAATTTAAAATAATAAATTTTAGTTTTTAATTATTTTCCGGCAGATTTCCGGCAGAGGTTAATATTAAAAAAATAATCAAAAATCCGTCGTAAATCCGCCGGTAAATTATTGTAATTAGAGTTAATAATTTTATAAAAAAAATAATTTCTAAACTCCGCCAGAAATATTGTCGGAATATTTTTACCGTCGGATTTCCAGCGAAAGTCAATGGAAGTTGACTTTTTTTGTCCGTCGGTAATTTTCAGACGAATTTTTTCACCAAAAATACCCAGTTTTCTAGTAGTGTTTCATGCTACAACAAAAATAATACAACAAAAAGGTTCTTTTAGGGGCTATCGCCCTATGCAACGACCAAATCAACATTGGTATGTTATTCCGTTAAGAATCCAACACATATCTCATAAAACTACATATATCTCACTTTTCAAAAACTATCAAGTATAAAGCATGTAATTATAAAATACCATAAAAAATGTAATCTAAATATAAAACTTTGTAACATATTGCATATTATGCATGCATCTCTATTTTACAAATCAAATAAATTCACCTGCATTGTTAAGAAATAAATTATGTTTTTTTTTTTATAAAAATGATTATCAACTTATTATAAGTTAAAATAATTTAACTTCTTCAAAATCTCTTTATTACCAATTTGATATCCAAATATTATAAAATACTTATTATCATGTAACACTAAAAACCAATAAATTATTTTTACTAGGATAAACGCCCCTTTAAGATAACGGCGGTGATACAACGGCAACAAGCAGCGGTCCCTTCTTTCTCCTCGCTTGTTCGCCCTCACTCTCTCTTTTCTTCTACGCCTCTTTCTCTTTATCTCTCAACCTACGTTTTCTTTCTTTCAGCTTCTAGATTCTTAAAGGCGTGTTAGTTTCAGTAATTCCCTCTCTTGTTATTTAAACACAAAAACCCTTTAAACCAAAATGGAGGAAGGTGTTAGTGGCAGAGATATTAGGGTTTGTTATCTCATTCCCAGGTTGATCTCCGGTGCACTTACGGGACTCTTTGCACTCGGTATTACTTAATTTCCATTTCTTTTCCTAATTGCGAGTTTAATTAATTGCTATTTCAGTTGGTTAAGTGTCGATTCATATTGAGATTATCTTTCTTAAGTTATGTAATGGTAATGTGCTGCCATTTCTTCAAAGAAGGCTTCTAGAGTTCTTATTAGAACCAAGGTGAAAACACAACGATCTTGCTTTCTTCTCTATTGTTCCTGGTAAAAACAATTTATATTTTCTTCCATTTGTTAACGGGATATTTACATTTTAGTAGCAGGGTTGGGTTCCGGTGAGAATCAAAGTTATGGTGAGAAAGGATCTCTACCCTGCATATCTTAATTGAAGATCATCACTAATGTGGTGATCAATTCCCGTAACGAGTTCAATTCATGGGGTGGGGTGAGATTGAATCCCCTTCTTACCCTTGTCATCTTAACTCCTATTCTATCTGGTCCTGACCAGTCCAATCATGTCTGCGTACCAAACGCTACCTCAACTCAAGCCTCCTTTATTGATAGATTTTCCATAGCTCAGAAGAAAGGAGTTTGTGGGTGTACTAATCATCTAATCCAGAAATATGTTGCATAAGTTGTCTCAAACATATCGAGGGTTTATCACCAACTTGGATAGGGTAAATGTTCCACAGTGTATACACGAGGCCCTTGCTATATGAGTCTGAGAAAGCAATAGAAGATGAGATACGAGCCTTAGAAGACAATAGGACATGATTTCTGACCTCCTTACCAAAAGGGAAGAACCCGGTTGGGTGCAAATAGATCTTCACAGTGAAATATCCTCACCAAAGCTCTTCCTAAAAACAGTTTTGATGATTTGAGTTCCAAGCTTGGCTTGTATAACGTTTACAGGTGTTGATGTACATTCAGCTATGATATTATTGAACTTAATTACAGTGGATTCTAATTCACACCATGAGTTGGATATGGAGCCTCGGCCAAAATATTGTCAAAGATGGTTATTTTGACGGTTATGAAGTCGGTTCTTTTTTTTGTGTTTATCCTTTTTGGTCTTGATTATGTTATAAAGGGAACCAGATTGCATCTTCTTCGACTTCCGTGCATCTTTGTAATTCAAATGATAACAAAAAAACAATTGCAGTGACCAATGATGGCAAATCGTTGAACCATAAAAATATTTGGTTTTTATCTTCCTTGTTTCCTGCATTTTTTTGTGTATATGCGTTGTGTTCGTTCCAAATACCATGTCAATGCCACAATGGGAGGTGCTAACATTAGGTCAATACTTGGGGACTATGCTGCAGGTGGCCCAGATGTTTTTGCTATTTTTCTCACCATTGTGTTTCTTGCTCCTTTCTTTAGAGAGTTGCATAGTTAATTTGTGCAAATCATGGAGCTTATCACGATTGAACTGTTCGGTTTTTATATGGATGTACAAGCCCCTATAGAACTATTGCATAAAGGCTAGGCCTTGGGGCTCCTCCCATATTACACCAGCACGAGTCTCATCAGGACCATTTGGGATTTTTCTGGCTGTTATATTCAGGGCCCCATGGATTAAAAAAGGGAACTATTCCATATTATATGGGAGGCAATCATTCTCAACAACTGGAGACAGAATGCATAGTGAAGCTCGTCATTGGTTATGGTAACATGGATTTCTGGTTAACTTGCAGCTGGGGCGTTCACGGGTGCCATCACTGGTGCTTTAGCAGGTATAGCTTCTGATAGCGGCATCCTCCGTGGAGCTGGACTGGGTGCTCTTGCTGGGGCTATTCTCTCTGTGGAGGTTTTGGAGGCTTCACGTGCGTATTGGTGTCAAGAGCTCTCTGGCACAAGAAACTCATCAATGGTAAATGTTATGTAATCTTTATGGGATGCAATGTGTATTATTGTTTCAGTAGATTGTAAATATAACTTTTGCTTTTTCTGGTCACTTGACTGCATTGGATTATTGTTTCATATTCTTGTGCTTATAGGCGGATTTTATGGAGGAGCTCCTTCGTGGAAGATTCGCAGAGGAACGTTTTCCACCTGAACTTTTAACAGCGTATCATTGGCAGGTACATGTTTTCAATGAAATGCTTAAGATTTAATGGATCAAGCAGCTTCACGAATGATACTTGATACCAAATGATGTTTAACAGTGAGCTAATCATGTGAGAATCACAAAAAAGTTGCAAACCAATCTGAAGTGTATTTTCTGTTTGACAACACATGATTCACAACCTTTTTAAGGTTCTCATTTGATTATGCTCCTAATGTATATATCAGACTTTTGTAGCTAATCATTGGCATCTGACAAGCAGGTCACGGTTTCTGCGTTGCGGCCTGTTGAGATGCTTGTTTTTAGCGATGAAATATCATACAAAGGGTTGTCAAAGGATTCACTAAGACGCTTGCCATGCCACGAGATTTCAAATGAAACTAAACCAACTCAAACCATTTGTTGCACAATCTGTTTGCAGGTTCCATTTCTCCTGAAAACCATACTTTCATAAATGCTTCAGTTCACCAACATCACGTATTTTTTTTTTGTATGGCAGGATATCGAAGTAGGTGAAATTGCTCGGAGCTTGCCTCGATGTGAACACTCGTTTCACCAAACTTGTGTGGATAAGTGGCTAAGTCGACATGGCTCGTGCCCCATCTGTCGACAACATGTATAAGTTTTTGTTAGAGCGATTATGTATAAATTTCCCGGTGTATATATATGTGATGCTGTTGGGATGTAGATAGTTTGCTATGTAACATCATCACAAATCTGCATTTTATATCTCAATAATTCTGAAATAAAAGCTGTAATCAAATCTTGATTGATCTTTGCCCTTGATCGAAAAAAGTTGTAACTAACCATAAGGATGGTGCCTGATTGGTTTGAGCTTGACTCCAAAGGTCAAAAACACCAGCAGGTCTCAGGTTCAAATATAAGGAGAAATAAAAATCCTTTTATGACCACGGAGGTTAAAATGCGGTGACTCCGGGCTATCTGCAAAGCAGGTGGTCGTTTTGAGATTATTCGGCTCGCATAGCGGGTTGGATATCCAGGTTAATAAAAAAAAAAGAGTATCACGTGATTCACGTATTGACATGTTTAAAATCAAAAGCATTTATAGTATTTGCTGTAAATTTGATGCAATTTAGCATCCGATAAAGCCATTTGAAAGAATTTCTATACTGGTGAACCACAAACTTCAACTTCAAAATCATAGTAGCAACCAATAATAGAATTCTCAACTGGAATTCTATCCACAATTAAAAGACTTTAACATTAATCACTTTTTTAACCACAAGGAAGATCCCCATAATAACATGAGCCATCAATCATTTTTCAGACAAAGAAACGTATTTTTCACAACTTTCACACTAATTTGCTTTTTATTGTTTCTCACCTCCTACATAAAAAAAACGTAGAATGGATCCATGTATATGTTTTATTTGGTAAAAACCTATTTATACTAGTATTTTTCTTTACGTCTGTTCAAAATTTATACTCAACTATATTGTACGGATATCAAGATGGAAAAAAAAGACAAAATGAAATAAGTTTACCGTTTTAAATCTAGATACCTACCGCGACATCGTATATGTACCTTACTTAGGGGTCGTTTACTAAACATTTACTTGGTAAGTGTTTAGCAGATGAATTTCCTTATCGGATGAACATAAGAAGGGTCAAGAATCTTACCGGGTAAGAGCGTTGAGAATGATAGAGAGTTTTATCCGGTAAGTGAGAATGACGACTCTTACTCAGGTAAACGCTTACCCAGTAAATTGTTGCATTCGATATGCTTTGATGTATTAAAATCTTATACATCAAAATAAATCATAATATTAACTTTTATCGATAAAAACTTACCGAATAAGCATTTGGATAAGAAAGTGAAAAAGAGCTAATTGAGGGTTCCAACCAAAGTAAGAAAACACAAGCAGCGGCCCCTTCTTCTCTTCGCTAAAAAGAGCTAATTGAGGGTTCCAACCAAAGTAAGAAAACACAAGCAGCGGCCCCTTCTTCTCTTCGCTTGTCCGCCATCTCTTTTTCTTCTACGCCTCTTTCTTTCTCTTGTCTACAGGATCTCTCTCTGGAGTACATTTCTTTCTTCAACTTATAAAGCACCATCAATTTATAAGCAATAAATTTCCCGGTTCCGCATCATTACCATTATTTTGAACCTAACTCTTTTCAATTCGCTTTTCAGATTGTTAAGCTCGCTTCCGGAGGTAATGTTTTGGGAATTTCTAATTTGACATCAGCTGTTTGATGAATTGCCTCAAAGAATAGTGTAACACATAATTATGTGTTGTATGGTTTGTTTTCGAAGATATGGAGTCTTTATTGAGACCCAAGTGGCAGAATGTTGGTATCTTGAATCCGAGGCAATTTTTATTAGGTCATTATTCTACATTTCCGCCAACACCAACATCAAGTGATCTTGAAAAGTTGTGTTATGTTGTTTCTCATGGGATTGGCAGTCTAAACGACTTAGAAGCAAGTCTTAATGAAGTCAAGGTTTCTTGCTGCTCGTCAATCATTACCCAAGTGCTTGATTCCAGCAAGAGAGAGGCACCTAGTAGACGATTGCTTAGATTTTTTTTATGGTCAGAAAAACAATTGGATGTTAGATTGGAAGACAAAGATTACAATCATGCTATCAGGGTGTTTGCTGAGAAGAAGGATTTTGTAGCATTAGACATGTTGATCTCGAATCTTGGTAGGGAAAATAGGGTGATGGAGAGCTCAACATTTAGTATTGTAGCCGAAACATTGGTTAAACTAGGAAGAGTAGATGAAGCATTGGGGATATTCAAGAACTTAGACAAGTTAATGTGCCAACAAGATAGTACTACGGTTACTGCTATTGTTGCTGCTCTATGTTCAAAAGGGCATGTCAAAAGGGCAGAGGGAGTCGTTTATCACCACAAAGATAAGATCTCGAATGTGAAACTTTTCATTTACAGAAATTTACTTCACGGTTGGTCTGTGCAGGAGAATGTCAAAGAGTCAAGACGAATCATCAAGGACATGAAAGGTGCAGGAATCACTCCAGATCTTTTCTGCTACAACACATTTCTCAAATGTCTTTGCAAGAAAAACTTAAAGTCTAATCCTTCTGGCCTTGTTCCTGAAGCATTGAATGTGATGATTGAAATGAGAACTTATGGAATTGCACCAACCACTATAAGTTACAATATATTGCTATCTTGTTTGGGTAGGACTAGAAGAGTTAAAGAATCTCTTCAGATTCTCAACACAATGAAGAAAACAGGATGTTCTCCTGATTGGGCAAGCTATTATCTTGTGGCACGAGTTTTGTATCTAACAGGTAGATTTGGGAAAGGTAAGCAAATGGTTGATCAGATGATTGAAGAAGGTTTGGTTCCTGAACGGAAATTCTACTATGATTTAATTGGTATTCTTTGTGGGGTTGAGAGGGTAAATTACGCCCTTGAGTTGTTTGAGCTGATGAAGAAGAGCTCATTAGGTGGGTATGAGAAGGTTTATGATTTGCTGATACCAAAGCTCTGTGGAAGCAGTGAATTTGAAAAGGGCAGGGAGCTTTGGGATGAGGCAAGAGCCATGGGTCTGACCCTTGAGTGTTCTAGTGATGTGTTGAACCCTCTGATCACCAAGGTATTTAAACCAACCCAGAAGGTGGAAAAGGAAGTCGCCATTGTAGAATCCCCCAATAGAAAAACTGGAGGAAAGATGAAGCCAATTGCGAACCTGAAGAAGGGTAAGAAGTTATTTTTCCCCAAAAAGAAAGGCAAGAAGATGATGGTCCATAAGAGGAAAAAGAGTAAAGCTTCGGCTTGATTGGTAATTCTATACATTCATATATATGAACACATCTATATATATATATATTTATAGTTTTTGTTACTTTATACTTTTGATCATGGAAATATGCATCAATTAGCATTGTCTCTTGGTATTCATCCACTCATCAGGAACCTTTCTTGATTTTGGAATGAATTGATGCACAAATTAATGAATGAGGAGTTGTTAAACCTCCGGTGTCCCTAGTAATGCATGGAGAGTTGATATTAAATTGATATGTCTTTCATTGAATTTTTCGTTGGTAATTTTGGTAGATATTGTTTAGTGCTATATTCAAACAGCAAACTTGTGAAAGGTGGGGTTTTTATGGTTGCTGCACTGTCTATTGTTTTGGGTAAAAGGCAGCCATAAATGGTGGTGAAGTTAATGAATAGTTGTTGGGCCTAGTAATGATGTTTTATGTAGTTAGGTCAAACATCAAAGTCAGCATGTCGATTCATGGCCCTTTTTACAAAATTTGGTTCGGTCACTTGGGAAGTCAGAAACTCACTAAGCACTTGCCAAAGGGAACACAAAGGGGCATTTACCAAATGCCAAGTAAGTGTTTATCAAGTCACATTATCTTACCGGATGAACATAACAAGGACCTAGAATCTTACTCGGTAAGAGCGATGGTGAGGACCGAGAGTCTTACCCGGTAAATGAGGGTGACGGCTCATACAGTCATACCTGATTAATGCTTACCCGGTAAATTGTTGTATACAATGCTGTTTTGATGGGCTAAAATCTTACATGGTAAGGTAAGCGATATGTTGAATCTTAAGAGAACGCTTACTGGGTAAATGTTGAGACTGACACACTTAGTTGAGACTCATTTTGATGGGCAGACAAAGGAACTTTGCTTGACGTTTTCAGTCTGCTATTAATACTCATTGGGAGAAGGAAGTTCACAGGGTCTCAGCACACGATCAGGAAATCGGCTTGGGGATGAGCCACCTAACTTGAACAGGTTCCCAACCACTTCAAATAGTATTATTTTGTTTTGTATGTATATGTACAAATATATTTTTTTGGCTTTCCGCCATGGGCATCCAAAATCCCAGGACTGGCCCTGTAAAACTACTTCCAATTTCAAGAAGAAAAGTTCCCCAGCTACATTTTACAGGTGTTGTGTACATTCAGCTATGGTGTTATTGAACTTTATTACAGTGGATTCTAATGTCACACCATGAGTTATTTTGACAGTTATGAAGTCGGTTTTGTTTTTGTGTTTGTCCTTTTTGGTCTTGATTCTGTCATGAAGGGAACCAGACTGCATCTTCTTTCGACTTTCCTGCATCTTTGTAATTCAAATGACAACAAAAAACAATTGCAGTGACCAATGATGGCAAATCATTGAACCATACAAATATTTGGTCTTTATCTGCCTTGTTTCCTGCATTTTTGTGTATATGTGTTGTGTTCGTTCCAAATACCATGTCAATGCCACAATGGGAGGTGCTAACATTAGGTCAATACTTGGGGACTATGCTGCGGGTGGCCCAGATGTTTTTGCTATTTCTCTCACCATTGTGTTTCTTGCTATCTTCTCTAGAGAGTTGCATAGTTAATTTGTGCAAATCATGGAGCTCGTGACGATTGCATTGTTCGGTTTTTATATGGGTATGCAAGCCCATATAGAACTATTGCATAAAGGCTAGGCCTTAGGGCTCCTCCCATATTACATCAGTACGAGTCTCATCAGGACCATTTGGGATTTTTCTGGCTGTTATATTCAGGGCCCCATGAATTAAAAAGGAACAATTGCATATTATATTGGAGGACATCATTCTCAACAACTGGAGACAGAATGCATAGTGCAGCTCGTCATTGGTTAAAGATAATATCGATTTCTGGTTGACTTGCAGCTGGGCGTTCATGGGTGCCATCACTGATGCTTTAGCAGGTAGAGCTTCTGATAGCGGCATCCTCCGTGGAGCTGGACTGGGTGCTCTTGCTGGGGCTACTCTCTCTGTGGAGGTTTTGGTGGCTTCTTGTGTGTATTGGTGTCAAGAGCTCTATGGCTCAAGAAACTCATCAATGGTAAATGTTACGTAATCTTTATGGGATGATGGGATGCAATGTGTATCATGCTTTCAGTTGATTGTAAATTATAATATTCGTGTTTCGTTAACTCGTATAAATTGGTTTAAGAAAATTTTGATAGAATTATGCATAATATATTTGTACCCTATGTTTAACTAATTTGTACCTTAGACTAGCTTTGCGTCAAAATGTGTTTATACCTATATTGACGTAAAGTTGGGAATTTAACTTGAAGGGTAAAAACCGTTAAATAGTTAAACTTTATATATATATATATATATGAGAGGCGGTTAAAAATAAAAATAAAAAATAAAAAATTATATATATATATATATGTATATATATATATATATGTATATATATATATATATATATATAAATGGATGGCGGTTACCGCCATTCTCAATCTCTCTCTCTCAATTCTTTCTCTCTCTAAAACTGTCGTTTTCTCTCTAGATTTTACGTCAAGTTAGTAAGGGGATCGAGACAACAATTATATATTCGGAATCCATTTTCCGAACCCTTAAAGGTATAAGTTTCATTCAGTTTCATTAAGGTGTTTATGTTAGGGTTATTAAAACCGGTTTATAAATTGTGTTTATATCTAAGTTTACGGATTGATATTGTCAAAATCATGATATATTTGATGTTTAGAATGCTAGAACTGGTTATATTGATGTAGAAATGAAAAGGGTATATTATAGTTTCAATATGGTTAGATTGTGGGTAAATGTTTAACCGTACACCAATTGTTCGGTTAAATGTCGAAAKRAGTAAAAATGCATGATTAAGCTTAGGTTAATGACCATTGGATTTGTTTTACTGTTTAGCATGTTAAAATGTGTTTATAGCATGTAAATGTAGCGAATCACGGAAGTTGGATCATAAAAGTTAGTCGGGAATTACGGAATCGACTTTTACCGACAATGTAACCCCTGTATTTGGCAGTGTATAACTCACAAACCGTAAATCGGATTAAGCTCGTATTTTGCAGTCAGGAAGATCATACTGCATACTACAACTTTCATTAAGGGTCAAAATTCCAGTTATGACTCTAAGTGGCTCGGAACAATGTGTTTTTGGGGCTGTTTATACTGTATCTGAGATTAATTTACAGTTTTGTAAAATTCATATAAAATAGATGGATGATCCAAATGAGATGATTTCAAAAGCATTAGACTCGTATGATATCAATCTAGAACTTTCATTTAGACAATATAATCTAGATTGGTCTCTAAGTAAGATAAAAATGCTTAGAAATAAGAGGGTCGGAAACGGTTGGATCGAAAGATAATAAGGTTAACTTTTTACGTTTGATTTTCAATTCGTATCCAGCTGTCCTTCTTGAGGTCTACATTGTTTAAGTACATTAAGACCTAAGTAAATTTATTAGAATAGTTATATTATGGTTTCTATGCTTTATAAATAGTAACCGTTTATGCATTCGTTAGGCACGCGAGCAAGTCAAACTTGATCGTGAATTTCCGTTTGATCGTGCGTTAATTGTCAAATTCGGTTAAGGTACGGATTTCATATCTCACTTGACACGGGGATAGCCATTT